TAGCTCAATCCACCCAGCTGTGTTTGGGACACTTTCTTGAAGAAAATAATAAGGAGGAACTCTGAAACATGCACCACCAATATATACATTTGTTTACAAACATCATACATGCTATTAGTATATAGACATTATGTTTGTTATAAAATATACCAAGTAGAAATTTCAAAAAAGTATCTTTCTCTCTCACACACACACACACACACACACACACACACTTCCTGATGCAGCTTAAGATCAGTTTGGCAATGCCATTTACATCTTATTTGCTTAAGCTTGCATTGTTAGCATTGTCTTCAAGCCATAGTTTCTTGGCAGGAAACTCCCGTCCATTTTCTGAAAGTTAGTTTAGCTAATAGTAGATGTCCCCCAAGCAGGGACGCTTGAAACTGAACACTGCATGGCAGGTGGGAGTGTGGGGTGGGGCTCCCGCGCTCCCGTCAGCACACCCGGAATGCCGTGTGCGGCACTGCTCTGCCCAGCACAGGAATCCGGCCAGAACACCAGGGGCAATGTTGTATCGAATGTTTTTTTTTTTTTTTATAGAATCTAAGTATAGATTTTCATCACACTCCTCCATACCCAATCCATCAGCAAATACTGTCAGCTATTCCTTCAAAATACATTAGGAATCTGATCACTTTTTATCTTCTCAGTCCAGGTGACCATATTTGACCCAAGTTATCATCATGAAGATTCGCATAATGATCTCCCAATTGGTCTCCTTGCTTCTGTCCTTGACCCCTGAACCTCAGACAATGGGATTCTATCAAAATGTGTGCCATTTGTCTGCTCAAATGGTTTCTCATCTCAGAGAGAAAACCTAAGATCTCACTGTCAACGAAGGCCTTCTTTGATATACCCCCCTTCCCATTCCTGTTTTGCTCCTCACTCACGGGCATTACAGACCTTTCCTAAATGACTTCTGTGGCCATAAAGTAGAGCACATTGGCCTTCTCGCTTAGCCTGAAGACCTCACAGAGGGTGGTGGGAGATGCGTTTACTATAAATAAAGATAGTCAAGACAGTCAAGAAAGTGTTTCCCTGTGAAGTAGTCAACTATATTTCAAAGCCTTTTAACAACTAGACAGATTTTCTTCTGAGAAATTCAGCAGGCGGAGGAAGCCCATCCAAAGCCAGTCCTTTTGCTACTGGCCACCAGGACCAGAAAACTTTTCTGTTCGATCAATGTTTATTTCCTTGATTTACTGCCAATGCATGGTTTGTATTTAAACAAAGGCACATTTTCATTATTTAATTTTGTAGATAAGTCTTCGAAAATGGTGCATCTAATAAAGATTATTTGCAATACCCATATTTGATGCATGATCTTCACAACCACAGTTTAATGTGAATTTAAATTCAGCCAATAATTCCAGGTGACAGCTTTATCTACAGTCTCCATTTCTATTTAAACCAATTTATTTAATGGAACAATTTAAAGTACTTCTTTAAACTGATCCAAATTACATTAAAAAATAAAGGAAAATAACTTTCAAATGTATTTTAATAATAGAAAACACTGCTATTTTTAAATCAATGAATCTTAGTCTCTAGTGTGAGTGTTAATTATACCATTTCTGATTAAAGAGATTTAAGAAAGATAGCAATGTAATCATTATAAAAATGTAAATGCAGATAAAATCCACCACTCTTCTCCCATAAAATACCAATGCACAAATATTAAAACCTCTAATAAAATACACGCTGTGAAACATAAGCAATGAAAACAATGAAAATAAATAAGATACAAAATTATAAAGTTCAAACACATTATGCTTCAACTTTCATTTCACTTTCATTGTTTTCTAGATGCATCTCACCTACAAATAGTTTTTAAAAATCTGGCGATTTTCTTTATTATAAGGGCTGAGATGGCAACAATTGAACACTCTGCATTTTCATTGGTAATAGAATGTATGATTTATGAGAGAGGAATAAAAATCTAAGAAAACCACTCGATAAATTATTCAATTTTCAGATCGAGCTGATTTAGAGCAAATTTTCTTCAAGCTGCCAGTATGGAAAATGCAGTTTATTGGACAAGAATACAGTGTTTAAGAGGATATCTGAGTTTGTGTCCCTGTTTTTAATAATTTTTGACTGTAGACAAGGCACATACTCTCTTTTAAATGCCAGTTTATTCATTAAAAAAATGGGATAATAATAGAAAGTATGTTTCAAGGTGCAAGATATACCCCCGATGGCATTCAAGATAGCTGGTATGATAATGGACTTTTTTCAAAAATTATTTATTTAATATATATGAGGAAGATATATAACTAGTATGTCAAATAAAAACAATTATAGAGGCACTTTCTCAGGAGTTTCTCTTTCTTGGAAAGTAATTTTGTTTCAGCTATACTTTGAAACTTCATTTCCAAGAACATAGACATTTAAAAAACAGTAAAATTGTTTGCACAGATAACTCAAGTGCTGAAAACGGAGACTTGAGGTTCATGTGAACTACGTAAGAATCAAAGGAAAAAGTGAGACGACACTTATAAAGCACTTAGCATTGTGTTGGAGTGTACTGAGAACACAGTAATTGTGATTATTTTTTCGTATCTATTGCTATATTACTATAATACTAATAAACCAAATATACTATGCCCTGGCATAAAAGGAGTTTTTAAGTATCCATGCATACAAAACCATCATCTGTTACTTTCCAAATGAGTAACAAAAAGGATACATGAAGTAACCAAGAAAGAATAAAAAAATTAAATTAAGAATAAAGAGAAAAAAAATGTTTTTAAAGGTATGGAGGGGAATGCACATAGGACAAGTGAGCAAGGACTTAATAAAATTAAATAACATAAACCATTTATCATAAGAATACTTGGTAAAGTAATTTTTGTTGCAATAATACCTGGCTAAGTAAATCTGCCTATAAGATTTGAGGAATAATCACACCAATGAATAGTACCACACCATCTCCTTAACCTTTGAATCAAGACATTTGAAATAAAAAAATAGCCTTTTAACTTACTTATTTTTAAAAGTTCGTTCAGTAATGCAGTACATACTACTATAATAAAGGTCTAAAACTTTTTCTGTCATTTTTCTAAGTGTCTCTGAATAGTTTTTTTTATTGTTGTTGTTAATAAGTCTTTTCCAAAAAGAGGAAAAAGGCAATGCCAATATCCAGTATAATATTGCTTAAACATTTTCCTCTTCAACTCATGCTATATGTTTCTGATTTACTTGTAATCACAGTTAATATTTTCCTACAGGTAGTATTTCCCCCCAAAATATATACTCAACATTTTGTGAGTGTATTTCTTTTAAGTAAAATATTCTAAGTTTCATCAACCAACATATTAAATAGCTGTAGTAGTTTTGAGTTTCAGTTCTTAGCACAAACTAAGCCTAATTTTTTTTTTTTTTAGCATTGAAAAAGGATCATTCAATAATAATCTAAAGATAGTCAATATCTAACATGAAATCTAGGTGTCTGTAGTCACAGCAGGATTAAATGTTATAATATTAATAGTTCTTATACCCAATAATTAACTGAGGACAGAACAGAGCCTCGGTGAAACTTCAAAGCATGGGTAACACATGTGACAACAAAACTCACCAAAAGTTCCGCCTTGATAAGCCTGCCATGCATTTCTTACCCAGAAAACAGGACTCGGGGCCAATGGATAAGTTAGACAATCAAGGTTAGAAATAAGGCACAGAGATGCCACCGAATGAGTGTTAGCATGTGATGAATGACACTAGCTGTCTTTGGAGAGTTGGAAGAAACCTATTAATGGCACTATGGGTGCCTCTCCAAATGAGTCAAGAACTCAAATGTAGTCATTAAAAATTAATTTAAAAATAATTTTTATGCTTCTTGCTTGAAATATGTAATACAACTACAATTATATGATATGATCAAAATGGAGCTCCTTCGAATAGGTGAATTTATCAGATAATTAAAACTAATTTCTGGACAACAAACAAACAAATGACTTGAAATCACCATTGAGCTTTATCAAATTACTTATTGAATTTTCCATCCTCAGTAACAGTCTTGTTATCAGGAAATATTCTATTTTGATTTTTTGGCCTTCATTAAATAAGCCTTTTTTATGCTATATATCTTCTCTCTAACAGAACACTCTCCAAACAGTAATCTTATAAAAATAGCAAGAAAAAACACAAATACAAAGCATTTTTAAGAATGACATCTCTCCAAAGATCTAAACATTTTAACCATAGCAACATTTCTCTGAGTCCCAAACAAATAAAAAAAAAATCTTTTTTTGAGTACCTAACAATTTTTAACAACCTGAAATATGTAAAGTTGTAACTTGTTTTCCTGACAAAAATATACAATTAATTATATTATAAATCAAATTATTCATCAAAAGCTGACTAGTAAATTTGAAAATCAAATTTTTGTTTGCTGTTTTATTTGTTTACTGTGTTTTATCTCTGTATTTTGAAGTCACAGCTAATGGCTAAAAAATAAGTTTGTTTTACAGCAGAAATTTAGATGCACTTGCTAGTCACAAACCATAAACTTTACCATTATAAAGTTACAATGATAAAATGTGTTATAAAAGCAAATGGTCCAACTATAAACCAGTTTAGTTTTATTTCATATTACATCTCTTGTTCCCAGAAAATAAAAAAATCTGGCATGTGGCTACTATCAAGGTATCAAATAAACTGAGGACTCATTATGATCAGGCTATCCTTGTAATATACATCCCATTAAGCTAGTGCTGCTAAGCCCGTTTTCATTTTTAATCACCTCACTTCAGAACATTTTTTTATAAATGATATAAATTTTTGTTTTGGAAAATATTTAATGATTAAAATACAATTTATAAGTTCTTTAAAAATCTGACAATTATAAGAGGAAATTGATAGCAGAATAGGTTAGAAACAGGGCAGTTGGCTTGGTTTTTTGCAGAAATGATATATTGTGAACTCATATTCTCCACAAGTTCTAAGTAGTAGAAAACATTCTGATGAAAGGGCATGCCAATAGATTTTGCACTTACTTTGCAGAGACAAATGGTCTGTAATGCACTGTAACTCGAGCTCCTCGGCCCATTCCATTTTCGACTGGGTCTGCATTGTCTGATAGTTCTCATTCTCAGTCATGGACCTTGGTTGACTGTTGACTGGTGTCTTTCTCAAGGTCTTCAGGTGCTGTTGAACCTCCGCCAAGAGAACAGCTTGTATTGCTTCAGTGACCTGTTAAGTTTGTGTTTCCACATAAATTATATTCAGTATTATTACAAATGTTTGGGGTCTTGCACAAAACCCAAAGTCTGGTATTTCGATTAGAAAGGTTTCACATAAAGTGCAATGTTCCATTCCATTAGGATTCACATCTAAAATAATTAAAATGCAGATACTGAGAACTGGCACCCAAACCATCACACTGTTCTTTTGTAAATGCAAAAGATTATAGGGGAAGGTTTAAAGGAGTTCCAAATTAAATTCTTCCTCCCAAGGTATTTTCATTTCTATTAGAAAATAAAGAAGTTAATTTGAATATATCATAATGCTCTTAAAGGCAAGTTTAGCTCCTCAAACGATGGCTAGCTCTAAAGCACTATATAGCCAGAAACACTTGATGTCAACTAGGTTTAATACAAAAAGTTAAAGACAGGACTTTAATAATAAATCTCACTAAACTGTGTATATGTGGATGTAGCTTTATATAGCTCAAAATAATATAAGGTGCAACTTCCGATTTTTGTGCATACCGACTCAAGGACCTGTGGTTGAGTGGAGGGGGAGGGGAATGCTTGTCACAGGGCCTCTAATACACTATCTTCATCTTTCAAATGAAGAATCTGGGATATGAAATCCCAAGTTCCACATAGACTTGGTGCACAGGCCTGCTGAGCCTTGCTTCTATGTCTTTTTTGTATACCTTGTCCCAAGGTTCTACATGCTTATCCCTGAGTAAAAAAGCCAGTGTACCTTAGCCTCTTTCTGGAAAAAAATGAGATCAGATGCAGGAGTTAGGTCAAGTTCAAGGAAGGACAAGTGCTGAATCACTGAGAAAAAATGAAGGGCACTGCTGATAGAGGTGAATTTGGGACATTTTCCTATTATCCTTCTCTGGTTGACAGTTAAACCTTTTGTATAGCCATCCAGTGTCTGCTCCTTTCCCCCTCCAAAGCCTGCCCTCCAATGACTTGTGTTCCACAATTGTCAGTGCCCCCTCTGCATTATCCTAGTCTACCCATACAATGCCTAGGACTTGGGCTTTGGGACAACACTGAGACTGGTGATGGAGAGAGGTTGATGCCAAAAACAGAGCGTTTATCATCTAAATATTCATTATGTGGCATGGCAAGATATGAGACTTTTAGGCTTCAGGGACACTCAGAGGACTGTTGCAGATGGCAGATACTTACTAAACTACTGGGGCAGAAGGAGCTGGGCCATGGACCTTCAAAACAGGAAGCTTCCCAAAAGTATCAGAGTGGCTTCTTGATCACTGATCATTGATTGCTCTGTTCTTGTCCACTCAAATGCTCACATGCAAATGCTTGGTTAGGTTATGAAAAATGGATAATGAGTGAAGTGGTTTTACTACTGTATACCATGTCTACTAACATTGTAGTACTGCCTGTCATGATACAGGTGCATAATGCTTATTCATGCATATCACATGATGAGATTCTCAGCACTGTTAGTTATTGCATACCATGAATCTAACATACAGTCTACTTATGATACTGATGAATCATGCCTAATAATATCTACCATGTTAAAATATGTGATAGTATATTAACTATTAGAAATAATGTTTACTAATATACACTCTATGTCACAATATAGGTGAACCTGCTTCTTTATGTATATCCTATGATGAAACAAACGACATTATGCGCAAGCAATTTCATATCACTTAATGTCACTTTAATGTTGTCACACATTTTATCTGACAGCACTGATTACAAGATGCAGATGATGTGGTAAAAGAGCTCTAAATCAGAAATGAGAAAGCCTGAGTTTCTGACCCAACTTTGACAGTAACTACAAATACACCCTTTGACAAATTCAGGTACTATTCTGGGACTTCGTGTTTTCACTTATAAAACAAAGTCTGTGATACCAAAGACGGCTAGAATGACAGCTTCCAATCGCAGAATCCTGTGTGGAACTTTCTTCTGTCCATAACTATAATTCAGAGGGCTACTAGAGGATGTCCTCAGACCCATGGTACATCCAGAGTATGGCCTGTCCTTCCGAATGAGCAGCTGGGCCACATGCCCATGGAAGGATGGCTGCCCCCTCACTGATATCGCCATCATCTCTAGGAGCACCCACAACTGTGATTTAGAATATCCTCTATCCCACTGGATATAACAGTATATAAAAAACTTGGCTCAATATTCTTTCTTAAAAATATCCAGGGATTGCCCTGGCTGGTTTTGCTCAGTGGTTAGAGCATTGGCCTGCGGTCCAGTGAGACCCAGGTTCGGTTCCCACTAAGAGCATGTACCACGGTTGCAGTTTGTCCCCCGCCCTGGTTGGGTCGTAAGGGTGGCAGCCACTTGATGTGCCCCTTTCACATCGATGTTTCTCTCTCTCTCTTCCTCTCTCTCCCTCCTGCTGTAGCTGAACAAAAAATTGGAAAAATGTCCTCGAGGATAAAAAAATAAATAAATTAAATAAATAAATAAAAAAATAAAAATATACAGGGATTTATGTAAATTCATCTAACACTTCTAATTATTGGATTTATATATCATGACCACATTTTGAAAATTTTTTTTAATTAATTTATTTTTGTTACAGATGTTTCTTCTTTTTTTCCCCATTGACACTCTCCTCCTCATTACCCCCTCCCCATACCCGGCTTTGTTGTCTGTGTCTATCGGTTTGTCTCTCCCCTCCTCCCATCACCCCCTCTTCTGAGGGTTGTTAGTCTATACCCTACTTCCACATCTCTGGGTCTACCCAATTCCCCAGACTGTTATGATCATTATATTCCACAAATAAGTGAGATCATGCAGTTTTTTCTTTCTCTGCTTGGCTTGTTTCGCTTAGGATAATACTTTCCAGGTCCCTCTATATCATCTCAAAGGATAAGAGATCTTTCTTTCTTACAGCAGCATAATACTCCATTGTGTATATGTACCACAGCTTTTTCATCCACTCATCTACTGATGGACACTTGGGCTGTTTCAAGATCTTAGCTATTGTAAATAGTGCTGCTATAAACATGGGGGTACATATATTCTTTCTGATTGGAGTTTCAGGCTTCTTAGGGTATATTCCTAGAAGTGGGATCACTGGATCAAATGGCAATTCAATTTTTAATTTTTTGATGTAACACCATATTGTTTACCATAGTGGCTGGACCAGTCTGCATTCCCACCAGCAGTGTACGAGAGTCCCCTTTTCTCCACACCCTCATCAACACTTATTGATTGATGATTTATTGATGGCTGCCATTCTGTCAGGTGTGAGATAATACCTCATAGTTGTTTTAATTTTCATCTTTCTGATGATTAGTGATGTTGAGCATTTCTTCAGATGTCTCTTGGCCATTTGTATGTCCTTTTTGGAGAGGTGTCTATTTAGTTCCTCTGCACATTTTTTAATTGGGTTCTTTGTCTTCCTTTTGTTGAATTGTATGAGTACTCTATATATTTTGGAAATTAACCCCTTATCTGATATATCATTGGCAATTATGCTCTCCCTAGAGTGGGTTGCCTTTCCATTTTGATGATTGTATCTTTTAATGTAGTCCCATGTGTTCATTTTTTCCTTTGTTTCTGTTGCCTTAGGTAATGTATCAGTGAAAATTCTGCTGTGTATGATGTCTAAAATTTTGTTGCCTACATTTTCTTCTAGGATTTTTATAGATTCATGAGTCACATTTAAGTCTTTTATTCATTTTAAGTTTATTCTTGTGTATGGTGTAAATTGATGGTCTACTTTAATTTTTTTATACGTAGCTGTCTAATTTTCCCAACACCATTTATTAAAGAGGCTGTCTTTACTCCACTGTATGCTCTTGCCTCCTTTGTCAAATATTAATTGAGCATAGTGTCTTGGGTCCATTTCTGGTTCTCTGTTCTGTTCCACTGGTCTATATGCCTGTTCTTGTGCCAGTACCAGGCTGTTTTGATTACTGTAGCTTTGTAGTATAACCTGATATCCAGTATTACCATGACCACATTTCTTAACTGCTAAATTTTGTTTGTGTTTTTTGACACATTTGTCACTACATATACATATTATAAGAATAATTAATAGTAGTGTCATTGAAAATCCAGAGGGAGTAAAAATAACAGAATGAAACATATTAACCATAGTGAGTAGGATACTCGGAGCCACAAAAAAGTAAATACTGACTGGCACACACCCAGTTGGAAACAAACTCACAATACACACTTTATGCTCAGTGTGAAATCAATAAATCATGGTTCCAATTCAGAGAAATGATACAGCTTATATGCAGGTAATAACATTATCACAGTATCTGGTATACAGTGGGCATTAAATAAATACTAATGGAATTGAAATAGATTCTGCACACTTTAAAAATGTAAACTGTGGAAAGTATAATTTATTGATAATTTCTAACTATCAATATTAGAGTTTCTCTAGTATATAAATGTAGTAGATAAATTTTGTAGATGATAGGGACACAATTTACCCCCAACAAAATATGGAATTTATACCGTATTTTACAAATTTTGTGATTTTAGTACTGAGCTAGGATTGAAAGCTCTGTGGGTATAAAGCTGTCTTCTGAATGCGAGTTTTATGCAAAGTATTACATTCTTATGAGGGACTATGCAGTGATTTAAAATAAGGTTTACAAATCCATTAGTTAGAAAGAGACGGCCACAAATCTGGGCCATATACTTATCACTAGATGTATTACAGGGCCACAGGCAGCTAGAAATTTAATGTTCTTTTTTTTTTTTTTTTTTTTACTAACACCTTGAAACAGCAAAGTGAAATAGCACAGAGGGCTATGAAAACTCATAAGAGCCCCGAGGCCTGCTTGTAGTTCCATTGTCCAGATTTTCTGGTTTAAAAGCATTTCCCAACACTCAGCTCACAAGGCCCTTTCATGTCTTTTGCAGCATCTCCTAAAAAAGCAATACTTCTGCCCAAGAGGCTTGGATGTCAAATCTCACCCGCTGCGGTTAGATTAGAAAATCCCAAGAACTTTACTGCAGTTTCAAAAACATGCACATTAGCAACCCCAAAGCCTTGCTGTTGCTTTTCCAGCATTTCTTCCGATTTTAGGTATGTTTCTTATGTGAGAAGCAAAAGAGAAAATTTCCAGACAAACTCATTCATCTGAAAAATATGCTCCTTCTTACCTCCTCCCTTAAGGCACACCCCACCCATTCAACTTCTGAAGTAGGATTTTGCTGTCTTACAAAAACATTCCCTTCCCACCTAGTACTCCTAAAATACATTGAAAAGTAGAGTCAAGTTAACCCGCTTCGACTAACTGCTTAAATGAATGGCTTTATTAGTAATTTGAGGGCGGGTTAATGAAGCATTTAAATGGATACTTGCAAAGTCTGTTTTTCCTGAAGGCCTGGGAATTTTCACTCCCACTTTACACATGAAGAAAATAGTCAAGTTCAACATATCTTCCAGAGTCATTCATCAGGTTAGTGGCAGAGATGAGAGGAAAACTGTGAAGCTTGGACTTCCTACAGTGTGAGTCATAAATGCTCTGGTAATATTTTCCTGCTCCTAGCATTTTGCACAAGGTCTTAGTATCATAGAACCTTAAAGATCCATTAGTCCAAATGTGTCCAAACCACATTAAAACTTATCTGAAGGTCAAATGAACAACTACAAAAGATCTTTAGTTAGAGCAATTTAGGATAAATGTTCTGTTGAATTCTTTTTCTTAAGGATTCCCCCCCACCCATTGTTCAATTCTTTGGCTACTGGTGGGGGGGGGGAGTATCACTCCTTTAATAGATAGACTCTTGTAGGGTGATTGCTAATATGCTGGTAAAGTCAACTTGTACTGATGTTCATTGGATTATCACAGAGGCTTTTTCATAGCTATTCATCCATTCATCAAATATTTACTGACTGGCTACTGTCAGTACTGTTTTTCTGGGTGCACTGGTAGAAGAGGGGTGAGTGAGACCAAGTCCCTGCTCTCAGCATGCTGCTATAACAGCGAGGAGACAAGATAGGCAAGCAAAAAAAAAGTATAATTTTCATTAAAAATAAACACAAATAGTAAAATAAAACTGGGCAATGTGATGGTGACTGGAGGCATGGGGTGGGGTGGGTGGCACTATTAGGTGGAGTGATCAGGGAAGACCTCACTCAGGAGCTGGCTTTTGAGCAAATGCTGAATGGAAAAATGAAAATTCCAGCGCAAGAGAACAGTAAGGACCTGAGGTGGAAAGGAGCTTTGTGTGTCCTGGAAATATAAAGAAGGTCAAGGTGGCAAGAATAGAGGCAGAATGATGAGCAAAGAGGTTAGGCTAGGGGAACGCATCTTGAAAACTGTAGGCCACGGTAATAAGTTTCAATAACCTCTCCAATTGTATTTATTTGGTTTTATCGTATCAACCCCCATAGTACATTCTAAGTTCATTTTCTTTGTTTTCCTGTGACCAAAAATGACCATTTTTAATTGGAGTTATAGCTGTTCTCATCTTGCAAGTTTGATATTCATTAAGACACAAACTGAAACTTTAGTGAGTAATAAGTTATTGATAACATTAACATCCCTTCCTCAGCTCCCTCCATTCATACCTACGAACTTGATGATGACCCTTGCATATGTTATTTTCCACTTTTCCCCTCATTATTAGTTTCTGCATTAGCCCTGTTAAATGAAATACCCTGGATGGAGGGCATTGTGTGCGGACAAGAGTACCTACTTACTATACTTTCAAGTAAAGGAGCATATGAATGAACCATAGCAGCAGGAAACTCTTCCATCATCACGAACATGAGCTGAGTCATACCTGCACAGACTGGTCCCTCCAGCAGGAAATGAGCTTCAGAAGTGAAATGTCAGCTTCAGGTATATGGGGTTCATTCTTACCTAGAAATATATAGAACACATTTATATCTCAAAAATATTAAAAATGGATGCACCCCAATGGTCCTCAGCTCCAGCTGCACATTACAATGACCTGGGGATATTTTTTTTCACAAACATCGATGCCCAGGGTCAGACTTCCAGAGATTCTAATTTAATAGGATGAGGGTGGGTCAGGCATTAATACTCTGTAAAAGTACCTCTGATGATTTTCATGTACAGCAAGAGTTGAGAACCATTAATTAATTTGTATGTCATCCTCATAATTATACATATTCCCACTAAATCAAATTTATCTTTATACCTTAAACCCATCTTTGTACTCTTTTGTCAACAAAAAGCAATGACTAATATCCCCACCCAATTCACCAAATTTTATAATTCCTTCTTTATACAAGTATTTCCTGAAATCGTACATTGCATCTATTACACAAAAGCCATATAAAAGACTTCCTTTGACTTGTCCTTACCCAGCTACACTACTCTGATCAATAGGTACATTTGCCTCATGTTGTTATGTATTGTTTATTTTACATTTGCCCTCTTGAATCTCCTTTCTATCCATCTGCCTAATGTTCAGTGTGAAATTTTTAGAGTGAGTGAGGGCTTGGTTTATTTAAATTGATCTATAGAGTGTCCAGGAGTTTCCTACACAAAAAGGCACTTAATAAGTACCTTTTCATTAATGAAAATGTACATATTATCATCCAAGTAAAAAAATCAATGAATTAAGGCTTTCTGATGGGTAAAATATATTATCTAGGTATGAGATCCCCAAATGAGATAAAAACAATGAGGGCTTAGGCTGGAGAGAAAAATGAAAATTATTTAAATTAATGTAATAATATATGTCTGAAATTCTGCTATCACCTTTTAAAATTAGTACTAGTCCAATGTGTAATTCATTAAATCACCATTTTAAATATCAATAGGTATGTGTGTGTGTGTATTACATTAGTGGTCAAGGGAAATGTGCTTTAAGGTATTAGATATAATGTAAATTGAGAACACAAAAGAAATATATATAAGAAACTTATGACTCATTAATATCGTTATCTTTTCCTGAAGGAACATATAATGTGAATTTGAAATGACCAAGATCAGTGCATAAAACATGTAAGTATAATAGAGCACTATGATTTTGAAGTCACATTTTCCATTTCTTCATGAGCACAGCAGGTAAGAGAAAAATGTTTTTGATCTCTCTCCTTTCTTCCTCTCTCCTTTTGTTGACCTTGTGACTCTGCCATCAAAGCGAAGGATTGGTCTCAACTCTAACTGCTTACTGGCGTCCTGGGGCACTTCACAGTACACTTTAATGTGATGTTAAATTTTAATATGAGGCAGAAACAAGAGCCAACTTTTCCTGGCAATGTCAGTGAGTTAAAGAATTAACTGCAACGACAGGGGGAAAGATAAAAAGAAAACATCCCAGATTTACCAATATTACCTAGTCACCATTCTTGCTGACAGAAGTGGGTATTGGTTCCTGTCAACCCTTTGGAATGAGTGCCACAGTATTATTTTACTCTTCGGGCTTTGATTATAGAATGAATAGCATGAAGTACATCCCTCCTTTCCCACTACCTCTTATCTTTCAATTATTAAAACACAAAACCACATTTCCTTATTACCTAACTGGATTTAAGGGCTATAAATACCAACCCTCCACGTTAGGGACACATCGGCAGTAGCACTAGCGGCTCAGGCTGCTTTGGTTGTGGCAGCCATAGGAACACAGGGCCTCCGGGGCTCTGGTTAGCAACTCTTCTGTCTCTGAAACCACCTGTATTGTGCCTTGAATTCGAACCCACTTTCTTGTGTAATAAAAAATGAAAACAAGGGCAAATACCCTCAGAAGGACGACTACCTAAGGCAAAGGCAGGCGACCCAGAATGGGGCCCTATAGGGACAATGTTACTTGGAATCACAGAAGTGAGAAGTGGCCTGACCTAATGCAAAGAGCAAGGAGTTTGGAATCAGATGGAGTTGAACTGGAACCCTGGCCCCTCTGTTCATGACTAAGTCATCTAACTTCCCTGACCCCCCAGTTTTTCTAAGGCTAAAACAGAGATGGTTCCTCCTACTATGTAGAGTCCTTTATATATTAATTGAGATAATGTATGCAAAATTATTAGCATAATTCTTTGAACAGACCAGCCACTCAGTAATTGGAAGCTATTAATAAACTCACACTCTAAATATCCCAACTATTCTTTTCAGTAGCCCTGTGAAGGCCCCTGTGCACTGCTGTTCAGGTCATTACAGTGTAGCAATAATATACTACCCAACTTTGGAGGCAACATACACAGCGAGTCTGGAATATTACCAGTGTAGTAAATACAGCTTTTAAAGAAGTAAAAGCCATGCCCAAAGTTACACAAGTAAGTTGTAAGTGGCAGGACTGGATCCTGAACCTTAGCTATCTCCAGAACCACCGTTCTTTTTGCTATTCATCCACTTAGCCAAAAATATTTGCTTAGTTCTTTGTAGACATTGCTCTAGGAGCTGGGGACATAGCAGTGCACAAAGCTGTCATAAAAAGATAAAACAAAACAAAACTATGCAACTTATATTTTCCTAGCAGAGGTAGATGGCAAATTAAAAAAAAAAAAAAAGATATATAGTATGTCAGAAAAGGATTGTGGAAAACCATAAAATGGGAAGGGGTAGGGTGTGCTGGGAGAAGAGAGGGCATCTTCATTGGTGAAAAGGCATTTAAGGGGGAATTGAAGGATGTGGCGGAGGTGACAGGTGGCAGGCTGACCTCAGTGGAATCTGGGGAGACAGAATCCCAGGCAGAGAAACAGCCAGTGCAAAAGCCCTGAGACCTGCCTGTCGTGTTTGGGTAAAAAGTAAAAGGGCCAGTGCAGCTGGACCCTGGGAAGTGGGAATGAGGACAAAGAGATGAGGTCAGACGGGAGAGTGTGCAATGACGTAGGTAGAAAAGCCGGGTTATATAGGGCTTTGTGATCTATCCTAAGCACTGTGGTTTTTATTCGCAGTGACACAGAAGCCACCAAAAGGTTTTTAAGCAGAAGTGTGAGGTTCTAACTTAGTTTTGAATAGATCATTCTGGTTGCCTGGTTGGGAATAGAGGGTAGGAAACAAAAATAGGAGTAAAGGGGGTGGTTAGTATGCTTCTGTAGTCAAGGTGAGAGGTGACTAAGGGTCATGAGAGCGGTTCTGTAGGGGAGAGAAGCCATCAAAATCTGGGATGTATTCTGAAGGTAGAACCAGCATAATCACTTAAAGGTTAGATCTGAGGTATGAGAGAAAGGGAAAAGTCAAAATGACACCAAAATTTTTGGCCTTCATGACTGGAAGGATAGAATTGCTACTTACTGAGATGTCAAAGATTTGAAGAAGCAGGTTTTAAAAATGAATTAGCTTTTTGGCATCAAAAGAAAATCTAAACAGAAAGATTGTCACTCAGATTTCAAGGACCATTATAGGACTTCTAAAATAGCTCGAAATTTCTCTAATGTGATAATCTCTTATTTGGTAATAAAGATACTGATGTAATAAACTTCCCCATAAACCACATAAGACCTTAATTTGATATAAAATATTTCAGACTTTCAGAAAGTTTCAGACCACCAGGCATTTCAAAGATCATTTGATAAAGCCATCACATCACATGCCTTATAAGATGTTACTAATTTTAATAAAATTTTTCATGTATATTTCAACATTGGAAGAATACAGAAATATAACCATGTGAAATGCAGACTAAGTTAAACAATAAATGGACACATTGCTCATTCTAAACTGTGAAGTGCTATCCAATTATAGAAATATTAGTTATTTTATATCACAGAGGTAAGAAACAGATGAATTATATCTGTAACTTCTTTACCATTTCGTAAATGACTGTAGAAGCTTGAAATATGCAAAATATCATTCCCAGGACTTTTCATTTTGTTATGCACAGATTCCATTTTGAAGGAGCTGTTGAAAAAAGATTTAAAGGATGTTATTGAAGATGTATGAAATATGTGTTGAAAGATAAATTTAAAATATAAATGCATGACCAATTTAACACATTTGGCAAGTGAACACAGATTATTTTTAGCAGTATCTTCCATATTAATCTCTTTGATGAATCTTATTTCCCTGCATTGCTCCTACCTAAAACCTCAATTCCAATTGAATTGTGAATCTTAGTTTACCAGTAATATCTTGTGACCCACTTTTACGGAAGAGATCTTACTACTTTAGGTGTTACACTTTATGGTTAATGCAAAAAAAATTTTTTTTGAATCCTAATATGTTGACTGCTGCCAAAGAATTCTCCCCAGGTGCTGTCAGGACCTGACGAAGGCAGTTTCTTGCCCCAATCCACTGACTCAGCAGAAATTTACAGATACCGTCCAAGGATGTTCTCAGAGCAGATAGCTGGTTCCTTAAAATTCAGTTACCTCATGCACCCGATTGTTAAGCAGACAAGAATTTCCTCAACCTTCACAACCACAGTGAAATGGTTAGATTTGTTGGAAAGATTTGGAGTGAAAAATGTTATGTACATTATTTTGGTTTCCTGAAAAAGGACACATACTCTCTAACAGCTTATCAAATCTGCAGTGACTGATTGGAGGAGCAGTCTCTAATCCTGACACCTCCATTCAACAATTTGTTTTAATCAAGATTTCTGTAAAGAATTTACTAATGTGTGCTAACAATTTTTTAATCCTCACCTGATATTTTTATTTTATTTAATTTTAGAGAGAATGGGGGGGAGAGAGAGAGACATCTACGTGAGTAAAACATGGATTGGTTACCTCCCGTATGTCCTCCAAATGGGGACTGAACCCACAACCTTTTGGTGTGTGGGACGATGCTCTAACTAACTGAGCCACCGGCCAGGGCTATGCGGATGATTTCAAGGCCATTTAAGAGACGGCACAGTGAAAGTCCATCATCTCCCCTAGAGGGCTCGAGACACATCCTACACTAAGGCACTTGGTAATCAGGAACAAACTCAGAGTGAACACCTCTGGCAACAGTAACTGGGTCCCTCACATGCTGTGTGGGATCACAATTAGGCAAACAAATGTAACTTGTTAACAGCCCAAGTTTTTAAGAATTTGAAGAAATCTTAATGATCACCTACTCCACCCACCTCATTTTGTAAACGGGGAAAAGCAAGGCCCACAAGGTTAAGTGACTGCTAGTCCAAAGCCACACGGCTAGTTAAACAGCAAAATCAGGATTTACTCCTGGGTTTTCAGGCTGACTGCATTGTTTAAAACCATACTTTAGGTGCTATGTAATTTTCTTAGTAATAGAAAAAAGTGAAAGAAGCCTAGCTGAAATTTTTTTAAAACATTAAAATGAAAAGAAGAAAATAAAGTACTAACATTTACCAGTCTTTTTTCTCAATATTAGGGCCACAAACAGAAAATGGAAAACGCAGTAGCACAGAAGCATTATAATGGAAGGAAGCATAATACTGAATCCTACATAATCCCCAGGGACTTGCTTTGCCACCAGACCAGAGGCTCACTGAGGGCAGGAGCTCTGCCTATTTATACAGTGCCCAGCACAGATATTTGTTGAATTGAGCTCTTATCAAAGAACAAAAATGTCAAGGACTATTCACCACCATATATTGGGTAGTTCAAACAGTATCTCGCTATAAAGGCTTTCTAGATGGTTTCTCACACTAGTTATTCTCTTTACACTCACCACCTATAATACTTACCTGTACTACAAATATTTTCCCTAGTTTCTTTACCTTCAATGTTTTCTACAAATTTCATTTGCATTTTCTTTGTCATTTAAATGAACTCATATCCAAATGAGAAATTTATTTATATTTCTTCTATAGGCTAATGCTAAGAACATCTTCAGTAAGCATTTGGTGAATTGAATGAAATCTTCTAACATCAGACTAAGAAAAACTACATTGACTTTTAGCAGTGGGAGAGGGTATATACTCAGAGTCAAGGTTAGTAATTAATCAGGCTCTGGAATTAGACTGGTGCTCAGCCCTGAATCTGACTCTAAGAAGCTGAATTATCTTCTCTCCATAAGCCTTGATATTGTCACCTATACAATAAGCAAAATAATAGTGCCTATAACCCAGTTTTACTGTGCATATTAAATAAAATTATGTATGCAAAGGGCTTACCCCAGCTAATATTAAACAATAAAAAATAATAGTTATTATTACTAAACTGTATTTTCTATAAATTAGCTACTGATAGTCTCTTCTATTCTAATATTCCAAAGTATACACTAAATGGTGGGATTTGAGGTATGAGATTTTCAAAATTTTTCTATGTTTATGATAGATAAAATATATCATTATAGGCATTGACTTAAATGTTCTTTGTTCATACTGCAGAACAACTACAATGAATTTTAAGGTGTGTATGTCTGTATCTATCTATCATCTGTCTATCTATCTATCTATCTATCTATCTATCTATCTATCTATCTATCTAATCATTCAGCAACTAGCACTCTGACTTTCCTGGCACACATTATGAGAACACTGGATATTTGTTGAATGAATAAAATTTAAAATATAAATTGATTGCTCAAATGATTCTCCAATCCCCAAAATTAAAACAAGGATTTTCTAAAATGTGTTTGGAGCTAAAGGAGTTGTTGAATATTTATTCTTCATGTGAATAAAGAAAGGAAGGAGGGAGAGAGGCTAGAGAGTTGAATATAGCAAATAATGATAATTATTTAGACTATCTCAAATAAGAATCGTCAAAATCTGTAGGCATGTCTTACCTATCCATTTCATGTGCCAATTCTACAGGCATGTTAACTAATTTGTTAACCAAAAATAGTCTTCTCAATAAATAAACTAGAGTGTTTGACTCATGCAAAGAATCACGATTATTTTCCAGTCCTCTTGGCATCCCAGCCTGATTTGGAAGAGCAGACGTGTATTTATTTGACAAGTCCAGAACTTTATTGGAAAATAAATTTACTTTTGAATAGTCTTTTTTCATTTCAGCATTGCATAAATCCCAACCTGGCAACATCAGTGAGAAGTGATCTTCATTTGAAGCAAGTCCCAAAGAGACAGGGCCTTGAAGCTTCAAAATATTGAGATGCTTAATGCAGAGGTTATCTAACTCGTTATCCACTCCCCAGGGCAAAAGGCAAGATAGGAGCAGTTTGGCTGCATCTATTATGAGGTTGGCATCAACTTTTCTGGATGGCTTAGGGTGTGTCTTTTTGGAGCTCTTCATTTTCTTCTGCCTTTTAATGCCATCAGTTTCTTCTGAAACTGTGATGGAGTTATCCCCTTGGGCTGGGGTTTCACTAGCAGGCTTGGCTTGTGCCTCTGCTGGGAGAGGACCACAGGCAGTTTTATTTCTTTTCAGCGTCAATGTTTTCTTCTCCACTGTACTTTTGGCTCGTCTCGGGATCTCACTACCATTGAATGAATTGGAAGGGTCACTGTCACAGATTGTAGTCATCAGCAGAAGTTCAACAAGGTTTTCCAAGTCAAATAGAAGGATATGAAAGCCAATGTTACTCCATTTTGTCTTCACAGGCAACACGTTAAAAGGACCCGAGAAAGACTTGGCATTCACAACCTAAATATCAAAGAATAACAATAAATGCCTATTATATTAGTTCTTAAGTTTTCATATATCATAGATTGGGCATACACAATATTTAGTAGTGTTTAGCAAAGGGTAAATCATATGCTTAGTTATATTTATGTTACCTATATAAAATATAGTCCTTGGACAAGAAAAGGTGTCCTGCTAAATCATGACTGATAATGGTCTGAAAAAACATAAACATAATTATATTACTTTTTGAATGATAAAGGTCATCTAAACCATCATTATAACAGATGTATTTTAGACACATTCATTAATCTAGTTATAATAAAAAAGTCTAGAACAAGTTATTAAATATGAAAACTATTTTATTTAATGTATGTCACTGCAAATACTGGAAACATATACTCTTATGTTTCCCCAATCTATTTAATTAAAAATGTCACTCCAATAAATTAATATCACCCCAATAAATTTAATTAAAAATTTTAATGTAAGGGTTAAATATAAATTTTATTAGTACACGTTATTTATAGAATGCTCTCTGATGGCCCGATAGATAATTCTCCGAAATGTGCTGTCCAGGCTTTGCACACATAGAGAAGGTGCTGGTGTTTTCCCTGGTATCACATCACTTTTACTGTTACTCTCTGTAGTTCCAGGTTGTGGCAAGAGAGGAGGTGTTGTTTACAATCTGGAGAGCTAGAGGGTGGCAGGAAAAGACAATCTTCCATGCCAAGCTCTGAGCCTTGGTGATGCTGGGGAGTAAAATGGTACTGATATATCTACATGTGAATGCTAGAAACAGCAGGTGGGATAAGGAAGAGGCACACAGAGTTTAGCTCTTTGTCTGGAATACACAGACTTTGGCAAAAGCTACTGAGTCAGAAAGTCAGCAAGTAGAATCCCAGATGGCCAGCTGGCAGACTTTATTCCTCTACTCGCCACAAGATTCAAGACTGCATGACCAGCAACACTGAAGTTAACAGCACAAAATACAAACTCTCAACAAGCCAATATACATTTAACGAGGTAAAACAGAAGATCCAAAAGTTTGAAGGAAAAAATGTCATAGGTGAAGGCATAAGTCTAACACCTTTATAAAAAGAAAAGTCTACTCCTTTTTTTCTTTCATCCTACTGGGTCAGTTCATGCCTCTTCCTGTTCTATCTGACTCAAAAGACAAAGTGTTTAAACATGGCTGGTTTTACCCCCTGCTTTTGAAGGTAGAAATGCACTAACATGTTCTGATAAAAATTCTTTCTGAAAACACTGTGGATTCCCCGAGTTTGTTGTAAAATATTTGACCTGCCAACCAATCACAACCACAAAATACATGTCCTCAAACTGTTTCTTAAAATTACCTTCATCTTCTGGCTTTTGTGACTTTGTGCAATAATACAAATATTTAAATACTGAGAAAACATACAGATGTTTGCATAATAGATGCAAAAATATTTTAAATATTTAGTTATGTTAGAGCAATAAGAGTTTAGAAATGATCTAATCTGATCCCTTCCCCTTTAATTAAGGGAAAACAAGGAACAGAGAAGTAACTTGTTCAGTATTGCCCATTTGGTAAATAGCCTATCAGGATTCCAACTCTGTTTTTTCTGATTCTTCTTCAGATGACATTATCCACTCAAAATTTTTAAACACTGAAATATGTTTCTTTTTTCTCATTTCTGAGCTATGCAAGAGGTCCCGTTAGCTAAGCATTTATTTTATGAAACACCAATTTTTTTCTTTATACTGAGATGTAGAAGGAAAAAATTGTCATCATTATACTGAGATGTAATAAGAAAAAATAGTCATCATTACATGAAAAGATTCACTAATGTACTGACTATGTATAAAATTAGTACCCAAACACTTGTTCTGTTCATTTTATTATTTTTCTTTATTGATTTTAGAAAGAGGAAGAGAGAGAAACATCGATGAGAGAGAACATTGATCGGCCGCCTCCTGCATGACCTCCACTGGGCATTGCCCTGACTGGGAATCGACCAATGACCTCCTGGTGCATGATGGGTCGATGCTCAACCACTGAGCCACACTGGCTGGGCAACACTTGTTCTTTCTAACATAAAGGCCCATCCCTAATCCTATTAGATGGTGCAATCCAACTGCAAAGGAGACAGCAGACACTGTTCGAGATGCAGACACACTACATCCAGATGGTGATGTCAGAAATACCTGAGTCACGCCCAGTACCACTGAGAAATAAGGATCCAGACAAAAGACCAGTTAACTGAAGAAGAAAACATGAATTCCTGATGCTTCCAATGAAAAACATCTGTGCACTGAAACTTTTTCAAAATCAAATTAAATGAAATCTGGAGGAACACATTTTCCCAATCAGATCTGTTGCCACATTTCTATAGCTTATAAATAATAAAGTTTGCCAATAATATAAATTATATAGAAAAGACAGCTTTGAGATCAAATCATTATAAGCCAACTGTCCATCTCCTTCATTAGGTAATTACACATTTAAAAGCAGCCACTGGAGAGCTTATTATGCTCAAAACTAAATTTAAGTAAAAGTCACTAATTGTTGGGAAATGCAATAGAGATATGGGTTTGTCATTTTCCAGAGCAATTGTACTTCTTTTTCAGCTTCTGTATGCCAGGCAGTAACTATCAGACACATTTCTATTTTACATTGCTGACTCAAATTTATTAGCGTAAAACATTATCACTATACCCTATATTCTGCTATTAAAACAGAATTGTTTTCCCCTCAAAAAAGAGAGACATGGGTTTGTGTTCTTGTACACAGTCCCGCAGCACCAAACAACTGGCCGAGCCAAGATTCAAACCCAAGTCATTTTGACTCTAGATCTATGTTTTAACAATCCCTTCTGATTTTTTTTTCTTAACACCTTTATTGATGTGTGATTTGCATACCATAAATTTCATCTGTAGTAAGAGAGTTCAGTTCAATGATTTTTAGTAAATTTTCAGAATTGTGAAACTATCACTATCACCCAGTTTTAGGACATTTCCAAAAAAACCTTGTGACCATTTGCTGCCTCTCCCCATTCCTATCCCCATCCCCAGGCAACCATCAGTATACTTTCTGTTTCTATGAATTTTCCTTTTCTGGACATTTTATAGAGATGGAATCATCACTATGGGCTTTTGCATCTGCCTGCTTTCACTTAAGCTGTGTTTTTGAGACTCACGTTGTAGTACGTATCAATATTATATTCTTCTTTAATGTTGTGTCGCTATTAGCTTTATACTGGACAAATGATTTTAGAACTGAAAACATAAATGTTTTAATGTGTCCATTTGAGCTCTTCTTTATGCCAGTGAAAATATTTCCTTGGCACATTTCTTTTCTTCCACATCTTCACCATTTGAGTCTAGGGGCACGTATCATTTTGATGTGGCCCTTCTCTGAACATCTTTGCTTATTGTCCGCCTCAAACCCGACCCGCACAGTCTGTCGAAGTATTCAAAGACAGAAACGTGCTTTGAGCAAATGTGCTTTTAGACCCTCAAAAGTTCCTAAATGCCTATGGAAGGAAGTCCAGTTCCAATGGCTGGGCAGACCCAGATGTCCAGTCAAGTCCTTTTTCCTTTTCTTACCTAAGTTTACTACCCCTCCTCATTCATTTGGTCACATTTCTTTCTTTTTCTTTTTTTTAATCCTCACTTTAGGATACTTCTTCCATTTTTTGTACAGATAGAGCGGGAGGGAGAGAGAGGAAGGGAGAGAGAGAGAGAAACATCGACGTGAAGGGACACATCGAGTGGTTGCCACCCGCACGACCAACCAGGGCCGGGGACAAACTGCAACCGAGGTACGTGCCCTTAGCGGGAACCGAACCCGGGTCTCTCTGGACCGCAGGTCGACGCTCTAACCGCTGAGCCAAACTGACCAGGGCTGGTCACATTTCTTTAGCTGACCCTCCTGCCTGTTTGGCTCGTTCCCACATGTGAGGCTTTGCCTCTACTTGTTACCTTAATAGCGTCCTCCTCCTCTTCTCAGGCTCTGGACCAAGTCCAACCTCCTACAGTTTGCTCCTCAGCCATGCCAGTCCCATAGTCTCTCTCTCCTCTCTCAGCTCTCCTCAGTTCACTTGTAGCCTTCAGTCATGGACATTTTTATGTGTGGAACTTTCATCTTTCCCAAGGTGTGAAGCGAGTCTGATCCAGGAACGATATCCTACGTTGTCTGGTGTGGATTGTTTGAGAGCGGGATTCATGTCCGCTTCTTTCGACTACTTCTCAAATCAGTTACTTAACAAACAGTAGTATTTAAGAAAATGTATGGAAGTTTTTAACAGCTCCTACACAACCAGAAACACAAATGCATAAAATAGTACTAACTGATGAAAACAGTTTGTTTCCCTCTAAGACAAAAAGTGAATAAAAGTGAAAATTAGCTTCACCAGGAAAAAGCTAGATATGTGCATCCGATCCCTTACTGTAACATTAGATAGTCTTTTTTTAAGGGGTGAGATGAAAGAAGTCCAGCACCACAACGAGGGCTATCTAAAGGTCAATCCATCACCACCTGATATGCTTGGTGCCTTAGCAAAGTAAGAGATGCTTGGGTCTAATTTTCAATCTAGATGGGCTTTCATTTCCTTCCATTCAGACAACAGAGAGTTACCTTAAAACAAAAAAATGAAATGAGGAACCATGACATTTCTACCCCATTGCCACACGGCAACGGTTTATTTAAACATGGCCCTGGAAGTTAGGAAAAATGACATTTAGTCACTGGTACAACCCATTTCTTTCTTGATTTGTGATCAGGGTTTTATATTGTCTCCTCATCACATTCTTTGTTTGCCAATGCTTTTCACCAAGCTACATGGAAACATACTGAAAAGTCAGTAACACTCTAATTTGAAACTATCAAGAAGGTATTATTTGTGTTCTAAAACATGCTTAAGAAACCATGGTTACTGCAACATCAGCCTCCTCACTAAGAAAATCGGCTCTATTTCTTGACATCCCTAGCAGCATTCTCCCAGGGAGGCAGACTTAAATCCTGATAGCATCCTTTC